AAACCCTTCTGTGATTCTATGAAAATGACGAAAGAGGGAAGGAGCTGGTTATTTTAATCTTTGGTTCCTTTCTTTTAGAAGATATGTATTGATATTTTGGCAATTCAGAAGTGTAAATGAAATGCTACTTTTAAGTTATTTGTAACTTAAATCCCCTCCTCCTGAATGTTAGATTAATAAGCCTTTCTGACTCTTTACTTTAGGGGCTCTGCAAGTCTTCCAATTAGCTATTAACTGTCTGATAAAAGATTGCAGTATTTTACATTACTACTTTGATTTATGATTTACTGATCTGCTTCTCTTCTTCAGATGAATATATCGCCAGTAGCACTTGCTCGTATTTATGAAGAAGACTTTAAACAAGATATGGCTGCCTTAAAGGTACAGATACTCAAGCTTCCAAATTTAAGAGTATTTAAAAGCAGTTATTTTGATTAGGAGTCTGATTTTGATCTGAAAAAATAAACTGATTATGTGATGAAGTGTTGCTTGAAAACTGAGTGCGGATTTACTTTTTCATTCTGCCGGGAAGATGTTGCACACCTTTTGAGTAAGGAAATGGGAGGAGAAACAAATCCTTGCTTTGGAATGACTAAGTTAAATTTCTTTAGGAACGCATTTTTTTTCTCTCTACGCAATAGAGCCTTGTTTCACAGATAATACGTATTTACTATAATGCAGAAATAGCCTGATCTAAAGCATATGGAATATCGAATACCCTTTCATTGACTTCAGGTGGCTTTGCTTCTTGTGCAGAATACTTGTCAAAAGCAGGGAGTAAGCCGCTGGGGGAAAACTAGTGGCTATTTTTTGCCACCTCTCTTTTCTCTGGTGTATTATCTTAAATGCTGCTTATGACGTTCTTATGATACTTGCAATATTCTTTTCTTTGAAAGATAAAACTGAGGAGAACGTTCTTTAAAGTTTTTCTTAGATTATAAGAGACTTGTCAGCAGTGTGTTTTCCAGAGGCTAATAAGAGGGTACTCTTTCTTTGTTTAAGGTTCTTCCTCCGTTAGTATATATGAGAGTGACCGACAATATTCCTCAGATAATTTCCTTTATAAAAACAATAATTGCTAGCGGACAAGCTTATGTAACCTCGCAAGGTAAGACTTACAGCAAGGCAACTCCTCCCTCAGCACATGCACAGGTAATCAGTGCTCGTAGTAATCCTGTTCTGGGCTCAGATGAGATACCCTGTGCCAGGCTTTCCTTCTGTTGATTAACAGACAGGGTGTGAGCAATTCATTTGTGGTGACACGAGTAGGCAGAACAGCTCTTGCTCAATTTCAAAGTTAAACGTAGCTCATTACTTAATGTAATTGTTTACTGTAATGAACTGCTATCTAAGCTCCTGAGGGGAAGTCCTGGCCTGGCATCTGAATGAGAGCTGGGAGAACCTTTTAGCTCTAAATGGAGGGTGGGTATATCCTCTGTGCTGTAAAAGATGTGCCTGCGAAGCACTACGTGTGGGTTTTTATTTTTAGCAGAGCTGGTGGTTGTAGAAGGATTGGAGTACGTCGTAACGGGCGTAGCAGTAGGCTGTGCTGCAGTCAGGGAGGGGGTTGCTGATTGCGCGTGGGCGTGGAAGAACCTGGGGAGATCTCCAGAATTCTAAGTTATCCTGTGTGCGGAATGAGCACATGCAGTGAGGTTACTGAAAAGCTGGTAACGTGGTGCTAACATCCGCTACTACTTTTGCAGCGTTTCTGAATTTATAAATCAGAACTTAAAATGGGAGTAGAAGGGCGTTTGGTTTTGTTTTGCTTTGAGGGAAATGTTATCTTCTCATCGTGAATGTGCCCCATCTTTGCTATAAAACTAAACATTTCTTGTTTACTAGGCAATGTTTATTTTGATGTTAAGTCTTGGGGAAAAAGATATGGAGTATTAACTGCTGTTTATCCTGATACCCAAGATGAAGCAGGTGAGTTTATGGCACCAACTTGCTTGTATTTATGTGTTGTATGAACTTGTGATGTATCTACACATAAACTTTCATTCAGCAGACTGAAACAGTTTTCTGACCCCTTGTATATAGCCAGCTTTTTGGTTAATTAAGACTACATTGCTTTTGTCATTATTTATTGAGGGTACTCACTGTTGCTAGTGCAAAAGAAAACTTGGCGGTCTCTCTTCATACTTCGTAGCCTCTCTACCTTTGTGCTGGTACCTTAGAACAATTAGGATTCTTAACTAATTTTATTTAAACAGTTGGGAGTGCTTCATACAAACTTCATAATGAGGTGGAGGTCTCAGCTGTTGCACTAGCCAGCAGGGAGGTATTGAAGGCTAAACTCATGCATTATCTAACACACTGTTGTTTGGGCAGTTGCACTCCCCTGGTGCACGCTGACCAGATGGATTTGCGTCTTTCATGATTTACCACTGGACTACGGCTGAGCAGCCTGAATGTGTGAGGGCGAGCGATCTCTTGTAGGCTGTGCTGGAGCATGTCTCTGCCCTGGGCTGCATGTAGTTTTGCTGCAGTTTTCCAGCTCCTGAGCAGCATTGCTGAGCCTCTCTGTAGTTTCTGTAAGTCGGGTTGGACCAGGTCTCTGCAGTGGAGGATTTGATGCAGATCTCCTGCATCCTTTCGTGTGCTGTAGTTCAATATTTCTTCAATGGGGAAAAAAAATCTGTCGGCAGTTACTGACGATGCCTGGCAGGCCTGCTGCTCAGGTGAATCGCAGCCAGCAACTTCTCCGGGCTCCATTCTGGAGTTGTTTCACCATTACAGCTCGCAGAGGGAATGCACTGTGTCAGTGGTTATTTAGGGGCAGTTACTGACGGCAAGGACAGCCAACAGCCTCCTGGGCTGCATGAGGAGGTCAAGGGAGGTGATCCTTTCCTGCTCAGCACTGGTGAGACATACCTGGAGTGCTGGGTCCAGTTCTGGGCTCCCCAGTATGAGAGAGACATGAACATACTGGAGAGAGCCCAGCAGAGGGCCATGAATATGATGGAGATATGGTCCAGTACCTCCTATGAGGAGAGGCTGAGAGAGATGGGAGCACTCAGCCTGGGGAGGAGAAGGCTCAGGGGGTACTGTGAAAACAGTACTAGAAGTTTGCTGCTGTCCAAGAACGGTTTTGATTCTCATCTCCTTGCTTTTCTTGGTTTTATAGAATCTGAACCAGAAACTATTTGTGTCCCAGAGAAAAAAATGTGGTTGTCTTTCTGTTTGTGGGTTTTGGTTTAGGTTGTTTTTGTTAGCTTTTCTGTTGTGGTTCAATCTGTTTGTCCTGGGAAACTGTCTAAGGAGTAACTAAATGAATAATGTAAAACCAGATAAATTCAAAAGGACCAAAAGAAAAGGATGTATTAAAGAATCTTAAAACCATCTTTTTAGCCTGTAGAAATGTAATTCAGCATATTATTTTTAAATGTTTGATTGAGAAACTGGAAGCCCTGTAGAGAGGGGATGAAGGGAAAGGTGCAGGGAAAGAAGTTGAGTGAAAGAGGTTAAAATCAGAGTAGTTCACTAAATACACGTTTCCACTTGCTTTCACTTGCGCTTTTTTTTTTGAAACGTATCCATTAACAAATCACTTAATCTTGGCAGTTCATACGGATAAAAGACATGGTAAAGATTTTGCCCTGTGGAAGGCTGCCAAACCTCAAGAGCCATCTTGGACTTCTCCCTGGGGAAAAGGAAGACCTGGGTGGCACATTGAGTGTTCCACAATATCAAGGTCAGATTTCTTGGATTTTAAATCTAGTGCTGTTTTTTTGTTTTCAGTCATGGTACAGTGGTAGTAGCAGTATTGAAAGTGTGTTTTTCTGATCAGTAGAAAGCACCAGTTTTAATGTGAATACTTTGTGCAGTTTGGGGTGTCGTGTGTGGCCCAAACTCTGTTCCACCTTAATGGTGTAGCTGTCTTGCTGTGTTTTGACACCTTCTCTTGAGACAGACTGGGTATTTAAAATATGCCAGGCAGGATCACACAGTTGATCAATGAGTCTTTTAATTTGAACTGAGTAACCGAAGTTTTTATTGAAAGTTGTGGTACCTTTTTCATTTGCCTCCCTTCCACTTCTTGCAGTCTCCATCGGACCTGGTTCAGTGCTGTGTCAGGAGGACAGGGATTCCATCCTGACTCCAGCGAGCGTATGAGATCTTGCTGGCCTTATCTTAACAGCAGTTGTGGATATGCATGCCACTCATCTAAGCACTATTCAGCTTTCCTTAAAAGTCAGGCACAGTATTAAATAGTCTGATTTCTCTTTGGCAGTTTATTTTGTGGGCACAGTGTGAATTGTGCATAATTTTGCATTAGTCTCAGATCTCTTTTGGAAGCCAATAACAAATTTTAGATCTAGCCCAGTTTAACTTAGAATCATAGAATGGTTTGGCTTGGAAGGGACCTTAAAGACCATCCAGTTCCAACCCCCCTGCCATGGGCAGGGACACCTTCTACTACACCAGGTTGCTCAAAGCCTCATCCAGCCTGGCCTTGAACACTTCCAGGGATGGGGCATCCACAGCTTCTCTGGGCACCCTGTTCCAGTGCCTCACCACCCTCTCCGGGAAGAACTTCTTCCTGATATCTAATCTGAACCTCCCCACTTTCAATTTAAACCCATTACCCCTTGTTCTGTCACTACAGGCCCTTGTAAAAAGCCTCCCCCAGCTTCCTTGTAGCCTCTTCAGGTACTGGAAGGGGCTATAAGGTCTCCCCGGAGCCTTCTCTTCTCCAGGCTGGACAAGCCCAACTCTCTCAGCCTGTCCCCATAGCAGAGGTGCTCCAGCCCTCTGATCATCTTGGTGGCCTCCTCTGGACTCACTCCAACCGGTCTATATCCTTCTGATGTTGAGGGCTCCACAGCTGGACGCAGCACTCCAGGTGGAGTCTCAGGAGAGCAGAGTACAGGGGCAGAAGCTTGAGAGATTTCAATCTATGCTGGAAGTAGATGGAACCTGGTGCTTTAGGTTTCTCTTTCATATGCTTTGCGGGTACACCTGGGGTTGTTAGTCATTACTACCTGATTGTGAAAAGCCTTTATAAAGGTGGCTTTCTGTCTGTAAGTAGTTTTAGCACCATGCAATGGTTCTTAAGGCAACAAAAGTGCACAAAAACATGCTGAATTTGAAGTGCAGCTTGTGACAGAAGTATACTCTTGGTCTAAAACAGTGCCAACCCGTTACAAAAGGGCCTATCTGCTAATGTGGTGCACTTTGTAGTCTGCATTTCTTTCTGTAAAGAGTTATTTTACTGCGTCTGGGTGAGACTCCAGCCATGTAGATACGAGTTGACCCGTGCAGTGCCTAAGTGTAGTAATCTTAGGCTGTGAAAAATTTGTTTTGGTAAGTTACCTATAATGTTTTGCTGACCCGCTCAGCTGTCAGAGGCCCATTTTAATCATAGAATGGCTTGGGTTGGAAGGGACCTTTTAAAGGTCATCTAGTCCAGCCCTTCTGCCATGGGCAGGGACACCTTCAACTTGATCAGGTTGCTCAGAGCCCTGTCCAGCCTAACCCTGAATGTTTCACAATACCTCTTTACCCATCTGTTTTGCCAAAGATTTCAAAGCACTTCAGGTGAGCTAATTTTGAAAAGTCTTTGAAGTGTTCCTGGGAAAGGGGCATGGGAAGGGTGTTGGTCCCTAACACGGCCCTGGAAGATGGAACCGTCTGCCAAGGCTGAGGTCTGACCCCCAATCTGGAGTTTCCCTTGCAGTGAGGTGGGCCGTTCCTCCTGCCCCTGGGCATTTTGCAGATATATCTCTCCCCAGCTCTTAATGATTTTGTTGGAGGAAACAGCAAGTGGCCAGTGCCCTTCTGTAGATGTCAAGAGGGAAGGCGCGAGCTGGGGCCACTCCTGTGAAGGTCTGTGCATAAGCTGGTTTTGAAGCAGGCAGGAGGAAGCAGAGGGGCATGAGCTTGAGAAATGGCAACAGCCGTTCTGTTTTCCCTTCTTTCCTCATTTTCTTCTGTGCCCCAACAGTTTCTGCGGAGCCATCATGAGCTGGGGTGTTAACAGGGTGTTTTGTCCCAGGAGGGGCCAGAAGTATTAATATTGTATTGATATCTAGCCAGCTGTCAGGAGCCACTTGTTAATGTGCCGTGTGGGAAGACTGTGTGTACGCACACATGCATACGTGCGTGGGGCTTGTCTTTTACTTTCTACTTGTGTAGACTTTGCATTTTACCCAGCTTGAGTGTCCCTGGTTTCTGCATAGTTAGCGTTGATTTACCTCCCTGTGAGTAGGCAAGGTTGTCTTTGTTTAACAGGTGGGCAAAATGAAGTTATTAACTTGCCCAGCGTGACCTGATGGAGCCCTGAACAGAGTGTAGCAGCCTTGACTCCTGGTGTTGAACCAGAAAGCGTCTAGGTCTGCCCTATTGCCACGTGAATGCCTTACTTCCAGCCATCGATACCTGCAGAGAGGCCTGTGCCTTGCAAGCCTGCAGGCAACCCACACTAAGGCAGCAGTGCTGTTGGGATGAAGGGAATGGCCTTGGGAGGTCAGAGGCACTGACACTTCTTATGACATTATAACAATATAGGACTAAATATTTTTTGTCATGACTGCGTACTGTATTGCCTGGATTCTTGCAGAAAAGGTACAAGATAAAAAGTAGTAATACCAAATTTACAGAAATGTTGATTACATCAAAGTTGTTAGGTTTGCAGGTGAAAGTAGCTGTCTGATGCTGAAACTGTAGCAGAAGAAGGAAAGGAGATGTCCTTCTTGCCTTTCTTTAAGTTGGAAAAATAATTGCTTCTACTAAGGAGAATTAATTGTGGGCAGGTAGGGTCCTGTCCATACAAGTTCTTATGCAGTTTTGGTATCCAAGATTTGTGTAAAGTCTTTTTAAATTGTGCACTTAAATTTATGTTCTTTCATCTCTTTCTTTTCTGCATTTTCTTTTTGCAAAAAGCTTTTGTAGTGTTCTACTTACTGATCAGGAAAATATTGTTACAGTGCAGTGTTTGGAAAGCAGCTGGACGTCCATACTGGTGGAATAGATCTTGCATTTCCTCATCATGAAAATGAAATCGCACAGTGCGAGGCGTATCATCAGTGTGAGCAATGGGGGAATTACTTTTTGCATTCTGGTAAGTAAAATATGAGTCACCCGAGAGGCCTGAACTACTGTAATGGTTTGGGCTTTTAGGTTTGGCATTTGTATGGTACAGAAACAGATGCTGTACTACAGTGACCAAGTTCCTGACCTCACTAAGTGAAGAAACATGAGTGAGAGTGAATCCTGAAACTCTAGAATGAATGCCTTATTAACAAAGCAATTATGGTGAAATATTCCTGAATTTCACCTGGGGAAATCTCCAAATAATAACAGTATGTGCTTTGCTCATGTACACTATTTACTCCTAATTAAAAACGTGGAAAGAAGTGTTTTTCCTGTAGAATCTCATTCCCTTTCATTTGAGTTTCCTCAAAATTTGAGGGTAGTCCTTGTGGTAGGCTATCTTCCTTAGTTGTATTTTGGTTGTAACAGTCCTGCAGGACTCTTTATAAATGGTCCTGCAGGAAGAGGGTGAAAATAGCTGATATTTTCTACATATTATTCTTGTAAATTTTTTGCCTTGGAACCAGAACACGCAGTAACTGAAGGCAAGGAGTGGAGGTGGCAGGTGGGCTGGTAGCTGATTACAATGTTTTAAAAGCATTGAGAATGGAATAAAGCAGTCTTGTTCTCCAACATCTCTCATCACCAATTGCCCGTGGGCTTAAAAATCATTCATCAGCAGCATGCAGAATAAAGTAGCCTGTGTTTGTAAATAATGGTGAAAGGCTTTTAATCATGGTAAGGAAAGACATCTGTACTACTGGAAAATAGGAATGGAGAGAATGCTAAGATACATGAACTGATGAACCAACAGAGCTCACAAAGTTGTGATCCTGCAGAGAAATGCCTGAGCTGGGATGTTTTGTGTGGTTTGAAATATGGGGGAAGCCTGGCAGGCAGACACACTGCTGTCAGCAACCAACCGCTCGCTGGACATTCTGGGTGTGCAATTCACATACCTGTAACCATTTAAATTCTCCTGGGAAGATTTTTTTTTAATCCACCAGTAGCATTGTGCCTAGTGGTGGGTATGAGAAACAAGGTTCATGCTGAAGGCAAAGTGAGTTGGCTGCTTGGTCTGCTCTGGTCCAGCATGGCCAGTGAGGTGGCTGGTGGGTTGAGACAGGGAGGTCTGTGGCATTCATGGGCTACGTAAAGACCAAGTCACTCACCCCGCAGCTCTATGGAAAAGTGGACTCTCGTCCCTGTGGTCCCTTAACCCTTCCCAGTGCTGTGACCAACTTCAGCGTCTCTCTGGTTTCTTACGGAGTGTGACTGTCTTGGCCCACAGATGTCACAGACCTTGTCTCTTCCCCCAGAAGTGACCTTGCTGGCTGTGCTTGGCTAAACTGTATGGAAGTGTCTTTTACTCGCTTGGTCTTCAGCATACGATACTGCCCGGCATTACGTAGAACTGCTCCTCGCTACCTTGGCACGGTAGTGCTCCTGTGAAGTTTGTGCTGTGCGGTGCTTCGAGCTACGTCATTGTCTGACAGTACTAGCGCTGTTCCCGTTGATGGAAACCGTGAGATTTGTTCTTCCTGGTGTAGTCGTGGGGGTTGCGGATGGTCGACTGAAGGCAACAGGAAGTCAGGTTCAAGTCTGCAGCCTCTCTTCTTGCTGCACAGCACTTGGTGCAAGATGTCTCGGTGAACTCTTTGTGCTGCCTCTCTGAGCACAGCAGCTGCAGAGCCCAGCCCGTGGTACACTCTGGGAGTTACCCGAGCGTTCTTTATGGTGTATATGTTTGTACTGTACAGAGTGAATATTGAATTCTGGTTTCGGTTTCCCATGCAGAGCCTGTTGTAAATCGACAGCAACTGTCCAGGGGCTGGTGCATCCTCCAGGGCGGGCTTTGCTCCCAAAGCGCTGGGGAGTTCTCTGCGCTTTTGCGGAGATGCACTGGTTGCTGCCAGCCGGAGCCTTCTGTTGAAAACCACTGAACCTGACTTTTCAAGCTTGGAATTGAAACTATAGAGGAAATACTCCTTGATGCTAAATAAAGAGGAGTCAATTTTTACTTTATTCTTTTTTTAAAAGAAAGGGGGGTGGGAAAACCCTGCAACACAGTTCCAAGGGCAGTTTGTACACTGAGGGTTCTCTAGGAGCTGACAGATTACATTCATTAAGTAAAAAAAAAATGTTGCTGGAGGATGATAGTGTGAATTATTTAGGGCAAATGGATCAGCTTCAGAAACAATTTATTCTGGTAACAGACTTCAAAATTTTAGCAGGCTCAGAATTGGAGGAGCAATCTCCATTAGAGGAAGAAAATCCCTGCACTGGGGATAAATCTTCTTATAAGGACTTTATTTTTAGACTACTTGTACTCTGGGAAGAGTGCCAAGCCAAAGTTATGAAAATCCTTGTATTTTGTGATTCTGCAATGAAATCATTCAAAGTGCTGAAACTCTTGAAAAGGAATATTACTTCAAATTCAGAGGTTACCTGGACCTTATTAGGAAAACACAATCCAGCTATTTCAAGCTTAGCTGCCTGCCATTAAGTCAGTCAATATTTAGGCACCTTTGCAGAGGAAAAAAAAGGTAATTGTACCCAGGCTTTTCTCTTCTCCCAGGGGACGTTTGTCTGTGGGTTTTACTTGAGTCGCAAGAGCTGCAGGTGCCCTGGATCTCTGACAGCCTGGATGCTCTTAGCAAGGGCCTCGAGTTTAATGATGCAGCGGTGACAATGGCCTCACACACGAGCAGTCAAGACAAATACGAGGAAAATGAGATTTTGGGTTGATCATAAATTTCTGTGTAGCTGGTTCTGTATCCACGGATCTCTTGATTCTTTCCTACTCACTGTAGAGTGTGTTGTGCAAACTTAAGTTTCCAGGTGGTCAGGGTAGGACCAGAGGTCGCTTTCTTAGGGAGAATCCCTGCTGCTTTGAGTCATTGTCAGAAATGGCTGAGAAGTGAAACCAGATGCTGTTCACCTCCGTTTACCAGGCTTGAGCATGTTGCTTTTGTATCCAGACGAGCGTAATGGAGATTTTATCCACTTGTGGAAAAGAGGAGTTTCGGGGCAAGGCTGCAAAAGCAGTGCTGTGTGGAGAGGAGCACAAAATTCAGACAGCTGCCTGGGCTGCTGGGCAAGAAATGCCATCGCCTCTGCCACCACCTATAAAAGCAGAAGCATGATCATATGCTGTCCTTGCAGAGCACTCTGAGGTGTTGGGAATGCTGGACTGCCAAATCTGAAAGAATGCAGTGCACTGATATGGCGTTAAAGAGTAGGAAAAGTTCATGCTTAAAAATCTGCCTCTTAAGTATGATTAAGTGCTGGATTCTGCAGGTCACAAAGGGCCTGGAAATTGCTTGTTAGTGGTGGGCGCTTGGTAACTTACAGGATTACTCCTTTATTAGGAGAAGCCAATTAAGGCTTTTAACAACATTTCAGGAATGATGCTGAGTCATCTTTTATTGGCTACATGTTCGGCATCTCTCCGATGCTGGGAATAATTGATGTTTTCCATCAGCAGTGGTGCTGGGGCTAGCACGGATGAGGCCCAGGAGCATACAGCCTGCGATTGCCCATTTCCTGTCTTGCTTCAACAGAACTTTGAGTACTGAAGCTGAGCACTGTGTACTCTCCTAAATGCAATGGAGATGGTTACTGCCTTTTTCCTGCACCACAGCCCTGTAAACCAGTGGTCCACGTGGCTATTGAAAGCTCCTGTGGTGCTCAGAGACGACATTTTGAAATAGGCTAATATAAATTAGGCATCATAGCTATATCCCTCCCTCCCCCCTCTTTTTCTGAGTCTTCCAAAGTCTGGAGAAATATGGAATGTGCTGAAAATTCTTTTTACATGTAAGGTATTTTGAACCAGCACAGTAAACTTTTGGATTAAAAAAACCCCAGCCATCAGTAAGTAATAAGTATAGGAAATAGTTGAGATTCACTGGAGGATCTTTAAAGTCTGAAAATATTTCTGGGAAGTCAAGAGTAAGGTACTTTTTCTGCGAAGTCTGAAAAGTATTTGCTCGCTTGCTTGTTTTTACCAGTTTATTATCAATTCTGAACAGTGAGACTTTCAGTTTTTTTCCTTATTGTCTCTGCTCACGGTGGTGGTGTTTTGTTGTTTGTTTGGTTTGGTAAAACCTGTGTGTCTTTTCCTGTGTTTTAAAATTCACCCAGCAAAAGTTGAGGGTGGGGAGGTGTGCCGGACTGTAGACAAGGCTATGGAAAAATGCGTTGGGCGTTGCATTGGAGGGATTGGCACATCTCCATCACAGCATCTGCTGCCTCCAGCGTTTCCAGTGTCTCAGTGCAGTCTTTCTCCCTGTTCAGAAGCACGCTCGTTCATCCTGATTAATTTTTGTTGTTGTTGTTGTTCTAGGACATTTGCATGTTAAAGGAAGTCAAGAAAAAATGTCAAAGTCATTAAAAAACTACGTAACAATTAAGGTAATCCTTTTCTGTGAATTGAAGCAATGTATGTTTGTAATATGTAAATAATCACAGCTCTCTTTTGAGAAAATGCTGGAGTGTGTGCTTACACTGCAGCGAAAGGCCTGAAACGGAGTGCTTCTGTAGTGCTGCTGTACACGTTAGTGTGGATCTGGATGCAGGAAACCCGCTCGGACTCAGGGTTTGCTTATAACATGGATCTCGCTGAGCTGGGAGCATCTGTAGGAGCAGTGTTTGTGCCCAGGACCAGACATCTGCACAATAGGATTAGGGTTGGACTCAACAATCTCAAGGGTCTTTTCCAGCCTAAATCATAATGCTTTGTAACGATGGGTTCTTGTCTCTCCGCTCTTAATTATGCATATGCTTTTGGGACTTAGAAAAGAGCGGACGTTCGAGCTTTAGGAGAAATGGGGTGTAGTGTCAGCGTTTTGTCAGGTGTCCTGCAACTGCCCTATGCCAGCGGTGCTTCGTGTTCTCCTTTGTCTTTATACAGTCACCTTGCTGACGTACAGAGCGCTTGGTGTTTTGGTACCCACGAGCCACATGAATATGTCCTGTTTTCCTTTAAAAAAAAGGGGGTTGATGTAGCCCAGAGCAGGGTTTCTGTGCCAGGCATGTGTGTTACAGCTGTGCTTGGGGCTAGGCTGGCTCCTGTGATGGCTGACACCTATTGCTAGAAGTGGGTAACATTCTTCCTTTAGACAGGGCTTGAGAGGCTGTTTCAGTACACATGTTCCCCTTCGTCCTCTCGGAAGACAAAATCCCTTTAAAAAAAGAGTTCAATATGAGCTGCTTTATTCTTAATTCTCCTGATGTTGTCTGGATACAGTTAAGCCCTGTCTCCCCCAGGAACATTACCCATCACTCACAACTTTCACAGAAATTGCCTGAGTCTCAGACGTTGTGGACAGGGTGGAGAAATGACCACGAATGCCGTGCATATAGTTAAAATAATGTCTGGGAACACTCCTCTCCACATCTGCAGTGGGACTTTTCTGTTGAGAAAACAAAAAATTCAGGCCTGTCTCTCTTCCCTTGAGGTTCTCCGCTTTTAATTTCTGCCCTTAGACATGGATAACAAGTATTAATCCTCTCCTGTAAACAATTTTCAGTCCAGTGAAACAAACTTCTTTCCATACAACCTTCCTGCATCTTGAACGTTAAGCCCAAAGTGGAAGTTTTTATGCCTGTTCCGAAAGAGGTGAGGCCTGTCCAGGACGGTGCCTGTGGCCTTCCCCTGGTCCTGCCCACAGCCACCTGCATGCCAGGCCATCACCCGGGCATGGCCACCCCACATCCTCCGTGGCCAGCTGCCCCGTTTTCCCTCCCCCCCTTCCCAGGTTCTCTTCTCTGATTTTTCGTTTTTCTTTTTTTTAAATAGCTATTAATTCTGACCCCCAAAATCAAGCATGTTGCCATAACACATGGCTGAGCAACCTTCTTTGATAGTGTGCTACATTTTTTAATAAAATCCAGAATTGGTTTGTGTGGTCCTTTCCCAGACTTGATTTTGTTTCCGTACTTCACTCATACTGTTCTACCTCTGTATATTAGCATGAAGCTTCTGGGGTTATTGAGTACATTCAGTTATATAGAGTTTGTTTTTAAAAAACCCAAACAACCCCCAAAAAACCCACCCACCAAATCAATTAGTAGCATTGTCTGTGTCTTGATTTAGTTTGCCCTAATTGCCACAATTATTTCTGTTTTCACCTGAGAGGTGGCACATTGCTGACACTTTGCTACCTTCAGCGTTCAGGCTGGTTTAGTGCGGTAGCTGAAGCTAAATTTCAAAATGTGCATCTTTAAGCAAATGATGCTTTCTGTATTTGCTCGCTTGTCTTGACTTCTCCTTATGATTTTCTGATTCAGTGGCACTTCAGTGCTACAACTTACCATCAGCAATTTGCAGA